GCAAAACATTTCAGAAACCGTATGTATCAAATATGATACATTTGGCATTACAGGGTTAAAAACAAAAACATTTGAAAAAGTTCAACAAACAATTAGCCTACGATAACATAGGCACGTTTTTTTTACAGCACCTTTTTTTCTTGAGTAACATTGAACTTGAGTAACATGACAATTAATATTCCCTCATTAGGCAGCGACACATTAAACAGACAGTTTCTTCTTTTCAGTAAGGCAGTTGAGCTATAATGATTTAAAGGCAGAGCTTGATATTTTCAGGTTGGATTCTCTTCTAATGTCATGTGCACTTAATATCTGATCTGCAGTAGATAACTTCTGGCATCTTGATTCAGAGTAAATCCAGATTCATTTGTCCGGGAGACTGAAGCTAATGCCTTGAACAACATGTGCAATGAACAGATCAGATCTTTACATGATTCCTATGACAGAAATGTATATAAAATGCATTAACTTATTTAATATGTAATCAAGTAACTTTCAGTCTTTCTTGCATCATGAAAACAGATGAATAACTATTACAAGAATTTACATTTTCAAAACAGCAAAATGTGAACTGGGTCCAGCATTGGTTGAATATATTGATTCAAGATTCCAGAGTTTTCTTCTGCACTTAAGACGCTGATTACTTGTGGCTTTTTACAAACCTAATTCTAAAAGTCTTAAATCCTCCCTTTAATACATCCTTGAGGTTTAAGCTCAGAATAATTCTAACAAGTGGTTTACAGTGGTTTACGTTAGTTGTTCACCTTTGCTCAAAGGTCATGACTTCCTGCATCATTTCTAACTCCCACAACCCACACCTCAGATTCACTATAACAGGTCTGCATATTTCCTGTAAGAAAGGCCTGAATCAAAAACAAAAGTAACTGCTTAGAAAAATGTTTAAGATTCAAAGACTGAAGCTGTTTATCATATTAGCACACAACGAGAAGTTAATGCAAACATAATGGCACCTTTAAGCACTTTCATATTGAGCAGGATCATTTCACTTGTCTGTCGTAAATAGCTGTGGTGATGCCCCAGGTAATGCATGACCTGAGAATAACAAGGGTGCCCCCTCGATACAAAAGAACCACGCTGTGATTTCGGGATTTCCACATTGCCCGCCAACATGCCATGACACCCTTACTCTCTCCTCCCACCCGTGCCTGCATGTTTGCTACCAGCACAGACATAGGGTACAGAGTCAAGCTGATGGCCATGGAGGTCATAGTTCCTGAGACGAATGAGGAAGCCATGGGAGAGAGGCCATGTCCTGCCACAATGGCACTCACCGGACCCTTTAGGCCAAAATACAGGGAGCTGCCGAGGGCATTGCGCACTGTGATGGGCAAAAAGGCTCTGTAGTACCCCTGGCTTATCCTCTGCTCCTTCAGCCTGATGAGAACACTCCTCAAGGAGGGTAGATGCCTGTCATTTTTGCTGTTCTGCAGTACATTCTGTACGCGTTCAAATGGGGTGAAGACCACGGCCTCTGCTATACCTGCACCACATCCAGCCAAAGCAGGTAGGGCGGCGGTAAAGATGGCATTATGGGCTGACAGTGAAAGATGACGGAGAAGTGTGTCCTGGAAGCCGAAGAGTAGAGTACCATTCAGGGTTCTCATCAGGAGTGGTGGAACCACGCCCCTGTAGAGCTTCACAGGTCCTTCTTTATAAAGCTGTCCTACCGCCTGGCGCACTGGAGTGTTGTGGATCTGTTGTCGAAAAATGGTTTTGTAGACAGGAAAAACCAAAACAGTTGGAAGTGCCGAGAGCAGGCTGGATGTTCCTCCGTGTAAGTAGCTTTGAAGGTGAATGGCTGTGGTCTTAGAAACTCCATCATCTTGTGTGTGGTCAGGACTTACTGCCATCCTAAGGCTAGGGAAATTAGATGACAAATCATATTAGGATTGCTCTGATATGAGCACACATAACATCACAGTTTGGTACCCTAAAATAATATCCGGTTTTTAATATACGTTATTATGGAGCAACTGCAAAAATATTATATGACTCAGAGCATGGGAGGTTCTAGATAGGGTGACAACAGGGGCCAATGCCCCTTTTGAACTTATCCTGGCCCCTGTTATGGCCCCTGTACTGTAGACATAAATACCAAAATAATATATTATGATGAAATGTGCTGGCACAGAGACCCCAACCGACTGGTCCCAATTAAATTTTTGACTTTTAAAGTCTTTCTATAAAGAGACAGTGTGTAATTAAATTATGTTTTTTTTAAAGTAAAAAATGAAGTGTTACTCTAAAAAACTACCTATTCAATAAAAGTCTAATCATATCAAATCAAAAGCATTCTCATCCCTTAGAATTAGTCATTTATAAGTACAAAGGAGGCGGTTCACCCAATTTGTGACACCATGTTGCATCTCCATTTTGAGTTAGTCTCCAAAAGGGGACTAACTTGTCAGCCTTACAGGTTTAGCCTGTATCCGAAACATGTAAAGCAAAGCTTAATACGAGCAAAAACAACCATCATCATTCTACCTTCCACTTTCTGTTGCAATGGAGGAACATATGTACTCTTTGACCAGTGAAAGGCAACACAAACAAACCAGAAAAAGAAGCAGTAATTGGAAAAGAACACTGGTCTATATCGGCACAGCTTTGACCAGGTGGCGAAATGTATAGGGGGGCGGAGCTTCAAAAAGGAAAAAGAGGTTACAGGCTTTCAGGTGGACAGCTAAAGTAATTCAATATAACAGTGAAGTGTGTTTTGCTGTTATGTTAGAAACTGGGCAGTCTAGTCCAGAAACTAAGGTTGCTGCAACAGTTATCAGCTTAGTTATCAGGAAGGAAGGAAAAGCATCAAGGAAGTGTGAACATAGCCTTAGACAAGGCAGACAACACTGTGAGAATCGTGTTCTTTAATTTCTCCAGTGCGTTTCATACAAGTCAGCCTGACTTACTTTGTGAAAAACTCCAGAGTCAGGTGGAGGCATTAACAATCGCCTGGATCAAAGACTACCTGACAAACAGACCACAGTTTGTTAGACTGAAGGGTCAGCTGTCTAATCGAGTAGTTAGGAGCACAGGAGCACCACAGGGAACAGTACTCTCACCATTCCATTTTACTCTGTACATCTCTGACTTCCAGTACCAGACAGAGTCGTGTTATCTACAGAAATACTCAGATCATCTCGCAGTCATTGGATGCATGAAGGATGGACAAGAAGCTGAGTACAAGGAGTTGGTGAACCGCTTTGTGGCATGGTGTGGAAACAATCATCTCATCCTGAATGTCAACAAAACAAGGGAGATGCTTTTAGATTTCAGAAGAAACAGGAACAAGTTGAATCCTATTAACATCAAGGGAGAAGAAGTGGAGGTGGCGGAGGAGAATAAATACCTTGGTGTTCACCTGGACGACAAACTAGACTGGAAATACAGCTGTGAAGTCATCCACCAGAAAGGACAGAACAGCATGTACTTCCTAAGTCCTTTGGTGTTTGCAACAAGGAGTGGCAAATGTTTTACACGTCTTTTTTGAAGAGTGTGATATCTTCTTAAGCCGGGTATACAATGTACGATTTTTTGAGCTGTAGGTGCGTGTAGCGATTGAAAATATTGCACATTGTATGCCTGGCTTTACATTATCTGCTGGGGTAAGAGAATCACAGCAAATGATTCCTCTAGAACCTCAGGAGGATATTTCACATAGTAGAATTCTTCATAAAGTGAAGAAGATTATTAAACAAGGACAAAGTGTCTTCAGTGAGAGGCTTCTCCAGATCCGGTGCAAGACAGGCCGATAAATAGAAATCCTTCCCGCCTACAGCTATCAACACCTACAATAACTCGATGAAGACAAAAAAAAAGTGTATAGGTTACTGCAACGTTTAATTTCCCTTTGGGATTAAATGAATTAAATTAAATTGCATATAGTTTGAAGCTAAAAAAGAAGACACATTGCATTTACTTTCAGTTTCATCATATAAAACAGAAATGCATTCAGTGGTGAAATGTCTACATAAATGCAATTTAATAAGGCGATCAATGTTTTAAAACCTTGATGCTGATGTGTACAAATTTGTCTAATCTGTTTGTATTTTACATGCATAAATAATAAGCATTTGTGGCCTAGTGAACAGGGTTCCACATCCTCCATCCTACCATGATTTCTGCTCGCTTCCTGTTATTTTTCAATTTAATTTGTTTATTTTCAAGTAAATAATGCAATAATTAAAAAGAAGAATGTCCTTTATATGGACATGTTTCCAAAAGAACATGCTGCAGATCATGCATTTTGAATGGTGGAGAAACAGGTCAAACCATGCAGATAAAAGACATGTGAACCATGTCTCCTCAAGACAAGAGACGCGTTAAACCTGTTTCCTGCTTTTAACACCTAAACCGTGAATGCTGCTGCAGAAGATGGAGGCTACAGCAGTACCCACGATAAACAGAGAAACGCCTATGAAATAATGAATATATAATATTAAATGAATTAATCGTAGTATAATTTAAAATCCTGAATGTCTTTGCAAACCCCCCTATTGATAAACAGAAGGATTTAAAGGGCCAAACACCGGTATATATCTATTTTTTTCTTCAATAAATATAAATAATTTAAGGCAGCACTGGCGTCTGTATATCCAATAATATGAAAATGCAAGAAGAAAATGTGTCACCATTTGGAAACCTAAAGAGGCTTACCGTTTCTATAAGAGGCGATGAGGCGCGGCTTTGAAAATAACAGGATGCGCTGCTGAGGTTAATTCGCCGGTGCCTCGCGGATTGGCTACGTCACCAAACGGTTTCCTACGTCACGCTGAAACGTTTCGGTTTTTTTGTTTTCGTTTTTTTTTTTAAATAATCTTTGCTTATAAATACAAAGAAACAACGTGGAATAAAACACAGAGCATGTATTAAAATGCCCCAGCTAGGAAATAGGCTTCTCCAATAAGTACATAAAGCTGAAAAAAAAATCTGACATTATGATAACTTAAAAACATGCAATGACCTACATTCACATGTTTTGATATATATATATATATATATATATATATATATATATATATATATATATATATATATATATAAACATAAATAACTTTTGGTCAATGGATTTAAGCTTTTAAGGACGGCATTGAATGAGTAAGGGTTGAAATCACCTCCTCTTTAGATAACAATACAATTTACATCTCTGTCAGGCCATAAATTAAAGCATTTAATTTATTTTATTGATTAAGAGAACAACATTTAAGGACTTCAGCACCTTTCTAAGCTGTTCTTAGACATAATTATGTCAAAAAAATGTGGCACTTTCTTTAACAGAATATGTTATAACAGAATCTAAAGTACGATCTTTAACTGGTAGAAGTTCACATTTGTTTATATCCAAGTGAGGCCTCAATAAATCAGAGAAAGTTTGGATTAGGATTTTAGTTTTTGCCTAGTTGATTCAAAAATAGTCTGCAAGAATTTAAGTTGCTAAAAGGAAGAGGTTCCATCGATATAGGTTAAATCTGGGGGAGGTAGCTTTTTGACAGAGCAGTTAGTGTTATTATCATGTTTTAGTTATAATATTGGAAAAAGGAGCAAATCCAAATTTATGAAGACATAAAGTTATGATTAATGGAATCAGCGTTGTAAAATTCTAACAGGAGTATGAAACTTTTATCAGTAATTGACTCTAAATTGTCTAGAACGAAGGTCTTCAACAGGGGTCCGTGACCCCTAGGGGGTCCACAGAGGTTCTGCATGGGGATCGTGAAAGTTTTGGTTGATTAGACTTTACTTTTTTTTTTTTTTCTTATATTCCCCCCTGCAGTTTTTTCCATTAATTGAAATGTCTCTAAATCCACATTAACATGAATTCAACACACTGTAGTAAACAGATAAATGGAGGCAGAAGATGTCTTTCAGTCATCAATGCACACATTCAGCGACACACAGGAGCTCTTTCAAGCTGGGCACCGTTTCATTCACAACACCTGTCCCATCAACCAGGAATCAGAATCAGAAATACTTTCATAGTCCCAGGGTGAAATTACTTTCGTTACATGACTCCATTTGTAAAAGAGTGACTATAGGACCAGTTTGATAAAACACAATTTCATACAATATATATAATTAGAGGGTCTCCGGTCCATCTCGCCATCAGTTTGGGGGTCTAGAATATCAAGAATGAGTCGCATTTTATTGTGAATATATCTATTCTGCATGAATCCAGACTGTGTTTCTCCGATATTTAGAACTGATTTTAGTGTTTTTGTAAATAATAAAACCATGATTTTATAAACATTATTTTAAAAAAAACACATAGGACACCAATTATCAATAGGCCTAAGTTATTTGTCTTTTCTCAGTTTAGGCATAAAATAATATTTTATTTTAAAGTGTATGTGTTTGTGTGTGATTTCTGATGCTCTCTTTGGCAAGAAAAGGAGCAAGTTTGTCAAAAAAATTTGCTTGCAGAATTCCTGTTAACTTATCTGGGCCGTTTTATTTGTTATTCTTCAAATTATAAAAAAAAAGAGATATTTCATTGTGGGAGTAAAATCAAAGATTTCATGCTCTGAATCAAGTATATGTTGTGTATTAAGAGAATTCAAGAAGAGTTAATACACTGTTGGCTGGCAGGAATGGAGACAGTGCATCAGTCTGGCAAATAGTGTTTAGCTTTAAATAGACAGTATTTTGACCGTGAATCTAATTTGGATCAAATGTTTAGAAAATCCATGAAGCATCAAGTTTGAATCTACCTAAAGTTACTCAGAGTGCATAAACTTTCTTTTTTCCCTCATGTTTTCAGGAAATATGTAGCAAAATGTACACTCGCCCCCTGCAGTCAGTTTCTGATGGGTAACATTTTTTTTTTGCAAGGTTAAATATTATTTCTACTTCATTTAGGCTCTTTACACCAATAACAATGCTGGATAACTCTTAATGTCATGTAAAATGCAGAAATGATCATCTATGTAAGAAGCTTAAAAATAAATCCACCTTTTATTATGGTAGCCTAAACTAAGACGGGTTTCTTTTTCAAAAATCCAACACTTTCTTTTATGGTATTTTAATAGAGCGAACATAAGTCAGTTGAGGATTAATTCCCTCAGAACAGTTTGAAGAACAATCGGAGGGATCTTTGACCATTAAGAGCATAATCTCTGCATTCCCCTAAGCCTTCTCAAGTTTCTCTATTGTCTCTTTATTAATTAGCCCACAGACTTTCTATAATAGTTAAGTATGGAGATGATGATGTAGAGGTTTTGTTTTGTCTGGTAACTGATGCAGTGCTGATTTGGCCAATTTTTTGGATGTCCTCCTGCTGCATTTATCTATTTTTTCTGGATCATACCATGAGATTGTCATACAGCTCATCCCAATTTAAGATTTTATGATGCCATGTGCTTTTAAAAGGATTGCACTGTGTTTGTAGCCAAGAACATCACTGATTCTCCCCTGTGCTAATCAGTAAAAGTGAGGTGCTTTCTCACATGTCCATCCCTTCTTGTCAAATCCATCTAACCATTGCAGCAGAAAAAAGGAAAACATCCATCCATTTTCTGTCACGCAAGGGCTGCTGGTGCACATCTCCAGCTGCCTACGGGCGAGAGGCTGGGTACACCCTGGACAGGTCGCCAGTCCATCGCAGGAAAGCCAAACAGCTGGTGGGTATTTAATATGTCTAAAAGATGCAACAATAAATAAACTTTAACAATAAACAATGGGTTGTTTCAAATTTAATATGGAACACAAATGAAAAGTGCCAGTGGTGATTCTGAAAAGAAAGTAACCGTTATTTCACTGAAAATTTTGCTTCGAGTGTTAAAGACATATCTGTTATATTGCAAGAATCAAATATTAAAAATAACCTTCTGTATGCCTCTAAATAGCAGGTTAGGAAACAAGTCACTTCTCACTTTAGCAAATGCAAAAACTTAATTTTTTTTTTTTTAAATAGGCATAATTAATCAGTCGGGTTTTGAAATCCAGACTAAAAATATTAATGCTTCAGGTTGTTTTGGGCCATTCATCTTTAAAATCACCAGACTGTAATAAAAACCAGGAAAGAAAAAAACCTTTTTAATGTCAACAATAAAAAAAAAAAATAATAGAGATAGGATAAAATGTCCCACTTTTGACATTTTTTATATAGCAATTTTTTTTTTTTTAAATCATAAAATAAAAAGTAAAATGGAAGGGAGAAACAAGATTTAACATGATCAAGAAATAGAAGCCATGTACATACCTCACTACTGTTCACTAACAGGTTAGCATAAGTGTCTGTGTTTGTATTGCAGCAAAATAATATAAAAAAAAAAATCCAAGCACTTTAAACCTTTTTAAAGACAATGTAAAATATGTGTAAACAGTTTGTAGCAAGCAAGAGACTAGATATTTTTCTTTTTGGCATACTGAAATTTATTGAGAATGCGTCCTCATACGCAATGCATTCGTTCTACTGTAAAAGAACACGAAGGCTTGAATTATGCACATTGATGACAAATTACTTGACATAAAAACAAAACAAAAAGAACACAAGGACAGCAGGTGAACATTTCTGAAGGAAGCTCCAACCTGCAGAGACCCCAAGCTAAAAACCTGATTGCTTCTTTATCTTACTTTCAAAAACAAAAGAAAACTTTGGAGACACTGGGCTTTCCCCTGCCAATGAGGGCACCTCAAGAGTTGAAAGAAACATTCTAAAAGAAAAAAATAGTTTTCAGCCTGCTAAGACACTCCAAAGCCGTTCATTGAGAAAGAAAACTACAACGTGAGAAAAGGGGGGAGAGGAATAATCGAGACTAGAGGAAAGTGTCATTTAATTTCAGACTTTTGAGGCACTCTTGGTTGAGTGGAGTTTTTAGTGGCACTGTAAACTAGTTAAATACACATTCACTGGAGTAACTGCAATCCTTTCAAGCAGCAGAAGAGGAAACTACACGCATTTGTTGTAACAGAAAGCAACTGTAACAGCTTTAATATAACAGACGCTTCTCCTGAGCACTGGAACCCGCCGGGGATATTTAAAGAAGCTCTTTGACAACAAAGTGACACGACGATCAGGAGAAACAATGAGTTAAATGTACCAAAAGACAAACACAGTTCACAGGGGATAAACACCTCATTTATCCATAGACATTATAAATAAGCTTGCCTAAAACCGAGTCGCTTTGCTTTCGGCTCCCTAATCGGGAGGTGGGGTGGGGGGGCATTAGTAACAGACATAACAGCTGATCTTTTCATCGTTTGATTTCAACACGGTTAATTAGCAGAACAGCTTTGCGAATGGTATTCTTTGGGGTGGGGGCTCTCCTTCTTGTCTTATTTGGTATCGACCGAGCAGATGATGCCGTTGCTACAAGGGGACGTGGCTGAAGAGGTAAGACACAGATTCCCCGTTGTGAGTTCTGCGAATGGCCTCTGCTAGGATCATTGAAATGTCTATAACCTGGAGGAAGAAAACAAACCATCAGAAGCAGCTGGTGAACCTCAAAATGTATGACTGAGAAATCATATAAAACAAAAGATCAGTGAAGTATTTCACGTTTTGAGTTTCTTTCCAACCTGTATTTTGGAGCAGTGTTTCATCTTCTCCTCCTGCGGGATTGTGTTGGTGACGACGACGGCTTCGAAGCAGGCGTTGTTGATGCGTGAAATGGCTGGACCGGAGAAGATGCCGTGGGTCAGGATGGCGTAAACCTTCGTTGCTCCTGCAGAGATGAGCCTTAAGGGAGAGAAAGAAAACGCTCAAATGAAGACATCAACAAGCTCTT